AGAGACTTCCAATGAATATTAAATGGAGCTCGCTATCGGAATTGGCACATCGAACCAAATTAACTGCATTTGAGTGAAGTGCACAAATAAACATTAAATGATGTGGCTTTGGGAATATTATATTTCTGATATAAGTTTAAAAGCGCGTAAGAATTTTTCACAGAGGATATTTGCATTGAAGCACTTTTAAAGTTAGATCAAAGCTTTTCAATTAAATTAAATTAATATTTTTTTATAAATCTGTAATACTGTCTTAAGTATTTATGTAAAACACATTCTTCTTGTAATATTTTTAAAAGTTTCGTTCATAAAACACCTTTTTGCTCTATTATTTATATTTTTAAAAAATCAAAAGTTTCAAAGCGGATCAGTTTTCTATTTGACAAAAAGTTTATAATCCAATCAAACCTGATAAAACAAATTCATAACATATTTTAATTGGTATTCACTGTGCAATATATGAACTCATTTAAAACAAATCGCAGCCTTCAATTATGCTCAATTATTGGATGCGCAAAAAAAAAAGAATTAGTTTTATGTAGTTGCCGTTGGCTTTTAATTAACATTGCAACCTATGCTCTGCACTTATAAAAAATGTAAATTTTTTTCACAATTTTATTTATATTGCAGCGTTAACCAGTTTTCCACATGGCCAACTGCACCACTTTGTACATATGTGAGTTGCATGTGTGTGTGGGTGAGGGGGTGTGCGGTCTTCAAACTGCATAAAGCCCACATATGGTTTGGAGTGCGTGATATATATTCGTTTTCCCATTAGTTGCAAGCGTATTACAACAAAAAGTTTAGTTTTCGGTCTTAGTTTTATTTTTTTTAAATATTTTTTGCCTGCAATTAATTTTAGCTTTATTTTGGCTTTTTCTTTGCTTTTTTTTTTATTATTTTTTTTCGCTTGCAGCTGCATATGAAAATTAATAATTTGTTTTTATTGAACCCGTCCGCGTCGCGCATTTTGTGCTGATTTATAAACTTTCGTGTGGCATGAAAATGAATTCCATTCAATTTCATTGAGTGCTGAAAAGTGAATGCAAATAATTTCAGCGCTTTGACTCATTAACGCAACGGGGAGTATTCATTAACATTTGCTCTGTGTGAATTATGAATAGTTTAATACTTTTTCAGCGCTTTGTTAAGTATTTATTTTTTGTTGTTTTTTTTTCCTATTTTTTAAATTTGGTTTTTGTGCTTTTGGCTATACAATTCCGTCAAAACGTGCTGAAGGTGTGGTCCGCATCTCTGGCGCTTAACTGACCGCCATAATAAAAACAGTAATAATAATTTGTTGTTGGTTTTTTTGTTGATATTCTTATTTAATAATGAAATGTGATTGAAGCAGCTGCACGACCACGACGTGACCCATTTTTGAATGGCCGAAACGCGCTCTCGAAGGCAACTAAAAAACTATAAAACTGCATTCAACTAGAGAAGGTTATAAAGTAATTCACACGAAAAATATACTTAAAAATATTAAATAAAATATAATATCTTTTAGAAGTAATTTGCTCAAAAAATATACTTAATTATCATAATGCGAAAGAAAAATATACAATCTTCTATAAATATTTGATGCGTTCAAGATTTTATAATAACTAAAAAATATCAACAACTATTGTAAATATATTGTATTTAAATATATTTGATAACGTTTTTTCTTTAGTATCATATTATATATCCAAACTAATTTCCCAAGCGACTTCAAATGAAAAAGTCTGTTGCACCTTTTATTTTTGGTTGATTTAATCCCATTAGGAGATTGGCAGCGCATAGGCAAAAATTGTATAGGAGTTTCTATGATTGTTGACGTTTTTTGTGTGTTTTCACCTTTTCGTTAGACAAACATATTGCAGATGCGAATGCCGAGACATAAGCAATTTGCACACTTAAAATTTTCCAACACGCACCTCCTAAGGTGTGCCTGTGTCTGTGCTTGTGTGTGTTGGTGCCCCAAAAGGATTTTCACGCTCCGCGTTTGTCCTGCTGGCATTTCGTTCCAGGCCCGGTGAGGGTGACACGCATTTCAAATTGGATTTGGCCGAAACCGAGACGTTGCTTTCAGTTAGTTGTTGGCCAACTGGCAGCGAGTATAATTTTTTGGCAGCTGGCTTGGCCCGGCAAACACATTGGACAAATACTCGCCTAGAGCTAGGCCAATTCGCGTTGCTAAATTCTGTTTGCCAGGCAGACAATTTGCAGCTGTAGAGGTGATAATAAAACTGAGCTAAATTGTAGTTACAAATTAAGCAACACTTTCATACCTGAATTTCCGAGTCGCTTGTGTGTGCTCATTAAATCATTTGTTTTTTATTTTTAGTTTGATTTTTTTGCTTTTTATCCGCAACTAATGAACTTTTATTTGATGGCCCGGCCCTATGTAGGCCTGAGATTTACGCGATTTTGATAGCAGTCGCAGTTCAGATTTTGGCCAGGCCCCCTAAAAACCAACACAAAGCAGCTCATGCTGCGCTTTTGCTCAATACTTAACCTGGTTTTACTTTTAATTAAACAAACCAACAGACAGCAATAACAACAACAGCAACGACCACAACAACATTTGTTGAGCGCACAAACCGCGTTTAATTTGAGTCCATAAAAAAAATCAACTCTTTGACTCGCTGGGGCGTCAAAGAAAGTTGAAAAAGTTTTTGTCGACCTCCCAGTTGCCATGCCCCCAACTCTATCGCTTTTATCTATGACTCTCTGCCCATATTATGTCTAACTGATAATGTTAATGATAGCCTTTAAAATCATTTTACGTTCCAACAAAGTTGTGGCTTGTTGTCAGCTAGCAATTTTTGTGGCCTCAACGCGTTGCGTCCATCATAAAAATCGAATTTGAGTTTAATTTTAATTTTTATTACAAGTTTTACTTTCGTGAATGAATTGCGGTGTGCCGCCAAGCGACACCAGCAAAGCCCATCAAAGCCCATCAAATTACTATCCTAAGCGATAAGATCCAACATGCAACAAGCGAAAGCACTTTGAGGGCTAAGCTTTTCGATTTGATTTACGATATCATATGAAGTTTGTAAAGTATCAAACATGGTCTATATTTAAGTGTGAAAGAAGTTAACTGAAAGGGATTAACAGAGAACTGATACAGAATTTGGGTATTATGGCCTTGGCTTCTATCTGTGCCAGTTTAAATAGATTCTATCATAATTATTATGTATAGTAATTTTTATACTCTGAACCCATTAAAAATGGGTAAAAAGGGTACAATGTATTTGTGATAATGTATGCAACAGGCAGAAAGAAGCATCTCCGATCCCATAAAGTATATATATTCTTGATCAGCATCAATAGCCCAGTCGAGCTAGCCCTGTCCGCCTGTCCTTCTATCCATCCATCTGTCCGTATATAAGACACTAGCGGGTATAACCCGGCCTTGTCCGTGGCACGTATGTTATAAAATCAATGTTTTCAAAAAGCTTTGAAAATGATTTTGAAACTGATCGGACGGGAATCAAACAAACTTAAAATTCACAAAAAAACTTTAAAATGCATTTTCCACCCAAGGAGTTTAGATTTTGCGAAAAATGTGAAACACGTCTCAAATGATTTTTCTTATATATCTTTGGAAATAAATTTGAACACAAAACGTCATCCACCAAATCTTCGACCCCATTTGCACCTAGGAGGGATGGATTTTTCAAAAAGTGTGAAGCACCCCTCAAATAAATTTGAACATAGATCTTTGAAAATGAGTTTGGGGCCGATCGGATGGTGAACAAAAAACTTTCATACAACCGTTTTCCGCCAATTTACTACTGTTGCGGGTGGAATTTCCCAAATCGCTGAAATACGTATTCATTAAGTTCTTATGGAGAGCTTTGAAAATAAGTTTGAAGCAAATCGGACACAACTTAAAACTTCGCCCAAAAAATCTTTGAGTCGCATTCCACCCGAAAAAGTTTGGATTCTGCGAAAAGTGTGAAACACGTCTCAAATGATTTTTCTTATAGATATTTGGAAACGAATTTGAGCGCGAAACGTCACCCACCAAATCTTTGACCTCCATTTCCACCAAGGAGGAACGGATTTTACGAAAAGTGTAAAACACCCCTCAAATAAATTTGAACAAAGATCTTTGAAAATCATACAACCGTTTTCCGCCAATTTACCACTGTTGCGGGTGGAATTTCCCAAATCGCTGAAATACGTATTTATTAAGTTCTTATGTAGAGCTTTGAAAATAAGTTTGAAGCAAATCGGACACAGCTTAAAACTTCGCCCAAAAAATCTTTGAATCGCATTCCCCCCCGAAGAAGTTTGAATTCTGCGAAAAGTGAAAAACACGTCTCAAATGAATTTTCATATAGATACTTGGAAATAAATTTGAGGGCGAAACGTCACCCACCAAATTTTTAACCCCCATTTCCACCAAGGAGGGATGCATTTTCCAAAAAGCGCGAAACACCCCTCAAATGAATTTGAACAAAGACCTTTGAAAATAAATTTGAAGCCGATCGGATGGCAAACAAAAAAGTTTCATACAAACGTTTTTCGATATTTTTTCACACTTGCGGGTGGAATTTCCCTAAACCCCGTCTTAACGTGCACCTACATTACATAAGGTAACTACAGTGAAAATTTCAGCTTCCTAGCTCTTACGGTTTGGGCTGTGCGTTGATCACCAATCAGTCAGTCAGTCAGTCAGTCAGTCAGTCAGTCAGTCAGTCAGGACAAACAGTTTTATATATAGAGATATACATATTATACTCAAATTATGTACCTTTTTTTTATGGCTTGTCGGGCTTTCCCGACTAGAGTGCTCTTACTTCGAAATTCCATATATTTGTTTAATTATTAAGCAAGCAGTAAGCAGTATTAAGAAGTCAGGAATATTTAAATCATATATAGATATTTCTCTTATTCGGTAACCATTACTAGTTTTTGCAAGACAGAAATATAGAAATGTTCATTCAATTAAAAAACACATAAACGGTACACCAGAAATTTTCAAAGTTCTAGTTAAAAACATGTTAATTAATAGACTATTTATTATATTCTAATGGTCGTATCATCATTTGGACATTTTTTAGGGAGTGACTCCGGCCATGCCAATGCTGCCAGTAAATGCATCCAGTGGTTTCTAACTCATTCGTGTCTTCAACGTTACAGTCGAACCTTTTACCGTTTAGGTTGCTAAGAAAATTATTGCAAATATTAAGCATTATAAAAAGTAACAACATAATATAATAATTGATTTACCTAAACGCGCAGCTTTTATACCACCAGCTACCTTTCAACATCGAAGCACAACTCTGTTTGTTATCACTATCGTAGGTTGAAAAATTACTTCCTTTGTGGTATTCCATGGAATCACCGGCATTTCCACTGAATTTGCCAATTGAAATCAACTTGTATTTCTTTTGCTCACTTCCAATTCGAAAATCATCATATCTGGCAAAACGCATTTCATTTTCCTGATCCACCAGTTGAATGTAAAGCTCGTATCTCTGTGCGCTCGTAATTCTGTGTAGCTTTTCAAGTCCAAGCCAGAATTCTTCTTTGACGTTTCCAAAGCCATGTTTGTAATCCTGCCATGGTCGATAGAAGTCGACTTTTCCGTCAATGCGGCGTTGTATTAGGGTCCACCCAGATCCCGCCAGATTCGAATCGCATGACCCGAAAAACGGGTCCAAGCCTTCAACTTTTAATGCAAGGATTCCCGAGTAGTTCTTAAGATCAACACAACTGGTCGGGAGATGCTCAACTATTTGTTTGTATTCAACTAATTTCTCTTTAAGGCTGTTAAGTTCCACATCTTTATCAGCTGCATTCTTTTCGCATAAAGTTAGGTTTGACTCTGCTTGGAAGACGTCTGCCTCTTTAATATTTAAACTATCTTTTAAATTTGCGTTTTTGGTTGTTGTTGTCTGCAACTCTATTTCACATTTCGCAGAATTGTCATTTAGTTTTGTTAATTGTTGTGCATTGTTTTGAAGAGTTTTTGTATTAGTTTCAATAAGTTGTTCCAATTCAGCTATTTTTCTGTTTTTTATTGCGGTTTCATTGTTAACCTTTGAAAAATGCTCTAGCATTGGTTTTACGATCCGAAATGCATATGCGCCACATTGTTCCTCTAGTTTTTCGAACAACTTGCAAAGTTGACAGACATTCGTTATTTTGGTTAATTATTATCGAGTGCATGTTTTTAATTTTAGACCGATCTTCTCACTGATTCATTCTCAGTCGACGAATCTGTTGGCCAAGCCACAGGCAAAACAGCTACTAAAATCGCAAACACTTTGAAATTTATGAACATATTGCTTGGGCGTTAATTTATTTTAAAGCTCTCAAATAAATGTGGTTAATTCACGATTTAAATTGAAACTTGACTTGAACTGCATTGTTCCCGCCTTTATATAGCGTTCTGATGCAGGAATTTATGCGGTTGCTACTATCAAATGTGATTCATGAACTTATCGAATTAAAATATTAGAAATATATGGAATGCAGGAAAACTAAACAAAAACAACGTTCCAATCTAACAAATTAGAACAAAACTTAATACTTAATAAATGAATTGTAATAGAAAAAGTAGTCATATCTTCGGCACGTCGAAAATTTAATACTCTTATAGGCACTTCACTTTTGCAGATATGTAAGAATAGTGCAGCTCGAATATGCTGAGCTTGTGAAAATATCGTTGAAAACAGAATATTTTACCATATAAAATCCTACTATTCCACCTACATGTAGGGGGTATAGTTAAACTTATTAATGTCGCCTTTGGGTAAGATATCTTAATTTTCGACCGATCGTTCTTAAGTCAGCTATATGATATGGTAGTCCGATTCGGCCGGTTCCGACACATGTACTGCGTGCAACAAAAAGACGCACCTATGCACAGTTTCAAGAGAACTTCGAGGCTAGTTCGCATAGAAACAGACAGACGGACATGGCTATATTAACTCAGCTGTAGATGCTAATTTAGAATATATATACGGACGGTGATGTCTCCTTCTATGCCTTACACATTTCCAGAGAAAATTATTATACCTTCTACAAGGGTAGAAGCTATATGCAATATTTTAGATGCTATGCAGTTCTCTGAAGCATTGCTTGTTTGTTTATTTGATACAATTGTTGGTCTTTTTGATGTGTGCTATAAATAAATAAATTAAGTCAGCATCGAATTATAGCATTATATATAATCTCTTAAAGAAGCTAGTGCAGAAAACATCTGATTTTTGAGGAATTCGATTTTCCTCAACTATTTTCACAAATTATCGCAGCTGTTCCAGATTAGTGTTTTGATTCTTGGTACACTTAACTAATCGCACATCGTTAGCTGGAGAGTAACACCAATTCAGAGCTAAGCTTTAAGTAGTTGCAACATGCAACATGCGACTCGCCTCCCCATCCGCCCCACCGCCCACCAAATCACTTGAATGTTAATCTCAGCCAAATGCATTTGTAGATCAGGTTACGTTCGGGCTTCACCCACTCGACAGCGTAATTTAATGTGCGTCTATGAACGCTTTTGGCCATGATTTGGCGTACGCCATTTAATCAGAGATATCAGGCAACACCTGCCGCAGTTGGGCAGCTAGCTAGCTGCAACTGGGCTCCTGCAGCGGCAATAAACAGATAAAGTAGGAGTCGGTTCGAGGCGCTTCCTGTTCGAGAAGGTAGCCAGAGCATGGCGAGCCTTATTGGCCTTGGGTTGTCCGCCGCATGGCTTAAATCAAACTTGATGCTGCAGTTAAAGTCAATGCTTCTGCTGCTGCCACAACAGTTGCAAGTGCTGTTGGCGCAGAAAATTAATTAAGTTGACTTCTGGCAATGGCAAAGCCAGAACGCTGGACTGGTTGGCAAGCGGAAGTCGTCTGTTTTCCAACTTTATTTTTGTTTTATTTGGTTTGCCGTTGCATTTTAACCAAGTGTGTTGAAATTATGAAAAATGAACGCGTAAGCGAAACGACAACTAACGAGCACTCCACGCAGTTGCCGGCGCCAATAACAGCAACATTTCCATGCCACATCAGACGCACATGTTGCAAGTACAATTGCTGCGTAGGCGTACATACACAAATATTTTGCACATAATTGATGAATTGTTTAAGCACGCTTGATAAATGAAACTTCTCGACCACAAATAGCTGCTCAGCAACTGTGTGTGTGTGCGTGTGCGGTCGGACCCTACCAAAAATGCTCCACTAATCAGTCATTAAAGAGCCGCCCCATACACACACACCTTAAATGCCACAGTCTGGTATGCACCTCAATAATGCTGAAATGTCAACTGTCTGGGGTTATCAACGACTTTCGTATCTGTATCTCGACTTCGTATCTGCGCTTTGTTACCAACAACAACGTAAAATTCTGTCCACTAAAGTGTCACTGACAATTGGGCACAATATGACGACTGACAGTTGAAATTGATTTTGGTAAACGCTTAGCTTTAGATTACAAACCATTAACCGGCTGTCTATGGGCCATATACAGGGGCTTGGCTCGCCTCAAATCCCCCAAGACAGTTTCCCTCTGCGTCTTGGCCAACAATTGTTTGCTTAAGTTGCTTTGCGTACTTTTTGTTGCAGCTTCATGACTGGCACGAAACTTCTTACAGAAACGAATATATATGTATATAAGAAATGTAATACAAAATAGAATAATATAAAAATATAATATAAAATATATAAAAATAATTGCTGCATTTCAAAATAATGCAGAAATAGTACATAATTAAAATTTAAAATTATTATTTAAATTTAGTTTAAAAATGTTTTCAAACGAAAAAAAAAATTATTAATCTTACAAATAAAATGTAAAGTTATTTGAACAGTAAAAACAAGTAAGAGGTTCTAGTCGGGAGCTCCCGACTAGGGGATACCCTGAAGCCGCTTATCCCAACACCAAATGCAGCTCGAGTTACGCGCTCCTTTGCTTTTGTAGTAACAAAGTTAATTTAAAAAAAAAAAGTTTCCTTGACAGTGTTCGAACTCGCAACTGACCGCATTACTTGCTGCCGCCTCTACTCAACAGCCACACCAGCCAAAAAAAAAAGAAGAGTAGTTTCCTCGGTAGGGTTCGAACCAGCAACAGACCGCCCTGCTTGCCGCCGCCCCTACTCAAAAGCCACATCATTAATTGAGTTTTAATAAAAAAAAAACCTTCTAAAATAGCAATATAGAAAACAATACAATCGCAATTGCCATGCTGTTGATAAAATTCAAAGTAGACGCGCATGCATGTGTGACGCGCATGTACATGTATATAGAAATTCTTGGGATTGGCGCTTGCTGCCGCTGATACGAGGATAGCCACAACATGTTTTTTTTGTTAATTTATTTCTGTGTTTCTTTACCGATCTTGATGAAAATTTCAGCAGTAGATCTTAATGCACTATAAAATATTCGTGTATTTATGATGACAATTGCATTAAAATTGTGGCTTATATTGGTGGGCAGCATAAAATGATTTATTTACTTGATTAATAGCTTTGAGGTAGTAGCAGGAAGGTGATAGCTATAAAATGAAAGTTACTTGATATATATATATACTATTTTAGAAGTTATTATAGATGTCAAGTTTGGTGACTCTAGCTTTTAGTATTTACCAAACTTGCCCAAAAAACAGGATTTCGATATTAATTTTTATCGATTACTTGGAAATGGGGCAAGCTATCGAATATCAGAAACAAACTCGATCTGCGCATGGGCTTGGAGGACCTACAGCTAAAATTTCTATCTCTTCTGAGATCTTTGCGTTCATACATACGGACGCATGGATGGACGGACGGACGGAGAGACAGACAGACGGACATGGCTAGATCAACTCGGCTATTGATGCTGATCAAGAATATTTATACTTTATGGGGTCGGAGATGCTTCCTTCTGCCTGTTATCTACATTTACATAAAAACATTATACCCTTTTTACCCCTTTTTAATGGGTTCATGGTATAAAAATGATTAAAGAGCATATTTAAAAATTTTAATTTATTAAGGTTAAGTTTCAGCTATTAAATATAATATATTCGAAAGACTTGCAAATGTATTAAAAATAAAAGAGAAAATATTCGTATCTCTATATATATAAAACTGGTTGTCCCGACTGACTAACTGACTGCTTGGTGATCAACGCACAGGCCATACCGTAAAGGCTAGGAGCGGAAATTTTTACTGCAGTTATCTTATGTCCTAAAGGTGAACGTTAAGACGGGGTTTCGGGAAATTCCAACCGCATGTGTGGAAAAATCGCGAAAAACGTTTGTATGCAACATTTTTGTTTTCCATCCGATCGGCCTCAAACTCATTTTCAAAGATCTTTGTTCAAATTCATATGAGGGGTGTTTCACACTTTTCAAAAAATGCATTCCTCCTTGGTGGAAACAGGGTCAAAGATTAGGTGGGGGACGTTTCGCGCTCAAATTCATTTTCATGGTTGTATGTATATGAAAAATCCCTTGAGACGTTTTTCATTTTTCGCAGAATCCAAGCTTTGTTGGTGGATAATGCGATTCGAAGAGTTTTTTGGTGAAGTTTGTAAGAAAATTTATCAGGAAAGATACAAAATAAATAATATCGTTTGTATTATCGAAATCAAAAAAATAGCTGCCTACAGATAAACTCAATTTGTGAAAACTGCACAAATATTTCACATTAATCAAACGTAGTCCATAAAACATTAAATAATATAAAACAGAGAAATATATATATACTGTTTTGCATGTTCACTACGTGCTAAGAGTTGGTGGCATTTGCGTGACTCAGCGGGAACTGGTTGCAGGGATTATCGGACTGTCTAATATGTGGACGCTGGTTCGCCCACACAGTGAGGCATCTTCAGAGAGTAGGTGCCGCCACCGTATCTGTCGCTGCATAGGCAATTCTCTAGCTGTAAAAAGTCGCACATTTTTGTAACGAATCGGCAATTAGTAATGCCAGTCGGCATTGATGAATGAGGGCCTAAGCACTCGATCGATGATGTCGACCTACCGCAAAAATCATTGCCAAATAGACAAAGGCAAAAGGCAAGCCGGAAGATGTAAGGAACGGCGTGTGAACCGTGTAACAAGTGTAGCAAATGCGAGGCGAGCACAAGGAAAAAATGTGACACAAATTAGTAACGCCCTGCCCGCGCCATGGTAAGGGTATGAGTTGCTCTCTATGGGCTGCTAGCTGTGCCCTCAGACATGACGGCGTCCTGTTGTGTGTGGGTGTTTTGTCCGTGTGTGAGTCTTTGTGTGAGTTTATAAATGCAACGATCTGAATGTCTGTGTTTTTGTACCCTCGAGCTGAGTGAAACAGGGTTTAGTCTACATTTGCAGCTCTATGTCAAAGGCAACAGAGGGAATCTCTCCCTTCGAACTTT